GACAGGACTGACAGGCCCCAGCTCCCAGCTGGAAACAAAGGAGGACGCTTCAACTATTTAGATCTTCCCAGAAGAGCTGTGGGTGAGCATTAACATTACTGGAAGTATATTAATTTTCTTCTGGACACAGAGCCTACTATTTGGTCCTAAAAGCCTTCTGAGGTCCCAACTCTTCTCACTATTTCTTAGTTGTTGGAATTGACAGAAAACCTCATAAGCAGTTCCATACTTCACCTATGCCTTGCATGCGGACTTCCGAGCTGTAAAACAATCTAGTGGTAGATGGAATTTGCTCCAGGACTTAAGAACAATAAATGACATAGTTGAGCCTCTTAAAAAAAACAAAAAATAACATAAAGTAAATCGGTATCTGGCTATGAACTACTACTCTACCAAGAACTGTGGTACTGGAGAAAACCACTGAATATAGTATGGACTGCTAGGAGAACAGGTTTGTCCTGGAGAGGGTGAAGCCAAGCATCTCCCTGGAGGCCAGGATTCTGAAGCTCCGTCTGACCTACTCTGGACATATTGCAAGGAGGGACCAATCCTTAGGGAGGGACATTATGCTTGGGAGTGTGAAGTGCAGTAGAGGAAGACCCTCTATGAGGTGGATTGAGTCAATGACTGGGGCAATCAGGGTAGGTGTGTCAGATGATGAGGTTGGCTCATGATAGTGCAGAGTTTAGGGTTGTTGTACATAGGATCGCTATGAGTCACAAGTAACTCGATGGCACATAACAACAACCACAACGACAACCAAGAACTGGGTTAGCAAGAGTTCATTTTGTTTCCACATGTACAACCAACTTTGGATAAACAGTGTCAATCAGATCAAAACGGCTCATCACATACTACAGTTTTTAAAGTGCTTACCTAGAGAGCCAATTTATCAGCTTTGTCTATCTGTGCTTCACTGACTATGCAAAGGCTTTTGATTGTGTGGATCACAACAAGCTGTGGCTGACACTGAGAAGAATGGGAATCCCAGAACATTTGATTGTGCTAATGTGAAACCTATACTTGGACCAAGAGGCAATCAATCATCAGAACAGAGCAATGAGACACTACTTGGTTCAAAATCAAGAAGGGGGTCCGTCAGGGATGTATTCTGTCTCCATACCTTTTCAATCTGTATGCAGAAAAGATCATCAGAGGCGCTGGGCAGTATGAGGAGGACTGTGGCATCAAGACTGGTGAAGAGTCATCAACAACCTGCGTTATGCAGATGACACAACCCTGCATGCTGAAACTGAGGAGGACCTGAAGCGCCTGCTGCAGAAGGTCAAGGACTGCAGCCTTCAATACGGATTGAAGCTCAACATCAAGAAAACAATGATTCTCACCACTGGGCCAATTGGCAGCATTATGATAGATGGTGAAGAGATTGAGATAGTTTACAGCTTTAGTTTGCTTAGTTCTATAGTTAACACTCTTGGTACCAGCAGCCAAGAAATCAAGAGACGAAGTGCATTGGGAAAGTCAGCTGTCAGGGACCTCTCAAGAGTACTGAAGAGCAACGACATCAAGCTGGAGACTAAGGTGTGCCGGATCCAGGCTATAGTCTTTGCAATTACGTGCTATGCATCAGAGAGTTGGACAGTGACTAGGGATGATAGAAGGAGAATTGATGCCTTTGAGCTGTGGTGCTGGAGACGAGTGTTAAAAATACCATAGACTGCTAGGAGAACAAACAGGTTCATCCTGGAGAAGGTGAAGCCAGACTGCTCCTTGGAGTCAAGGATTCTGAAGCTTCATCTGACCTACTTTGGCCATGTTGCGAGGAAGGACTGGTCCTTGGAGAGGGACATTATGTTTAGGAGAGTGGAGGGGTGGCGAAAGAGAGGAAGACCCTCGATGAGATGGATGGATTCTGTGATTGGGGTGGTGGGAATGAATGTGTCAGAGACGGAGAGGTTGGCACAGATAGAGTAGGGTTTAGGGCTCTTATACATAGGGTCATTGTGAGTCGCAAGCGACTTGATGGCACATAACAACAACAATAACTAATGCCCTATGTGCCTTGCATTCTCAGATCTCACAGGCCTTTGCACTGACGGCACTTAACAACAAGTGCCTTGCATTTTCAAATCTCACAGGCCTTTGCACTGTGGTGTTGGACATCGCATGGCCTGCCAAAGGAACAAAGAAGCCTGTCTTAGAGGAGGGGTCTTAGAGGCAAGGATGGCAGAACTCTACCGCACATATTCTGGGCATGTCGTCAAGAGGGACCGATCCTTAGAAAAAGATATCAGGCTGAGAATGGGAGAGGGTCAGAGAAAGAGAGGAAGACCATCAACGAGATGGCCTGACAGTGACTGGAACGACGGGCTGGAGTGTGTCAGAGATGGAGGGATGGTACAGGACAGGACTAGCCACCGCTCAGATCTGTCGTTCATAGGGTCACTGTGAAGAGTAGTCACCTTGATGGCACATAACAACTATGGGTGAGAGAAAACAGCAATTAAAAAAGTCTCTATCCTCAGAGGTTTCCACTCCAATGGAACGTAAGTTTAAAACATCGAAATAAGGATTTGCATACCTGGTGGTAATAAGTCCTATGAAGAAAAATGATGAAAATGAGAGGAGAGGAAGGTTAGCAGTTTCAGGCAGGGTTGTTCTCTCTGAGCAGGAGACATGAGGGTATGAAGGAGGTGGGGGAGTAAGCTAGGGAGAAATCTGGAAATGTTCCAGGCAGAGGGAGCTTCACCCCTCTGAACGACTGCTTCCTTCTGCCTTGTCCACCTCCCCCCAGCTCCCAACCCAGCTGCCACCGTGCTCCTTTCAAATGAGCGTCAGGTCATTTTTCCTTGTTCACATGTCTCCACTGGCTTTTCATCTTCCCTGTAACCTCGGAAGACTGAGCCAGAGTGGGTGTGGTTCTCCGTGAGCTCACCCCCTGCTCCTCCTCTGTCCTTTCCCCACTCACCCCGTCCTATTTACTTTGCTTCAGCCACACTGACCTCTTTGCTGTTTTTCAAACATGTCAGAGTATTCTTCCTCCATGCCAGACTTGTGATATATTAGCTGCTCAATTAATGAACAAATCCTGATTTTTTTTTTAGGCGAGGGAACAGAGGCTCAGAGAGATAAAATCACTCATTCCAGGTTCTGATTTCAACTTTGATGGCAGTGCCTTTGCACTACCCTACTCCACCTCTTCGTGGAGTGTACTGGCTAGGCACCCACCCAGCTGCTAACCAAAAGGGCACAGCTCACACCTCCCAGCTGCTCCACAGGAAATGTGTGTCTGCTTCTGTGAAGACTTACAACCTTAAAATCCCTGAGACAGTTCTACTGATCTGGAAACAACTCAATGGCAATCGCTGTTAAGCGTCATCAAACTGAGTATGACCCATAGCGACCCTACGAACAACAGAACTGAACCCTGTCCTATCACGGTGTCCATCATCTCTGCCACACTCGAGCCCGTGCTGCAGTCACTGTGCTAATCCAGCTCGTCGAGGGTCTTCTTCAACAATGGCAATAGGTTTGGGTTTTTTCACTGTTATCTCTCACATTATGATGCATAACTGGATTATTGGATTAGAATCCTGACACAAAACTATGAGGAGAGTTTTGGAAAAATGGTATTTATAGAAATGTCTGATACACTACCTAAAAAAAGCAAGACGACTCTCTACTTATAAGGTGAAAACATCTTTGTCTATGGTTAGAAAGGCAGATGCAAAAGTGGAAACAGGACAGGAACCATATGAGCACCGTCTGAGTCCTTAGATCTTCAGATGTGATAATGCTTTTTAGAATAAAGGGATGCATGAGAGACAACTGACCTGGAAAACACACTTTCCAACCATCGTATACTCACTTTAGAGGGTGTTGTATAAGAGTTCAAGAGGGATTCCTCTTCTTCTTCCACTTCAATTCTAAAAGCACTGGTTAAGGGAAACCATCATAAACTTCCATGCAGGGTTTAGGATCATGGTTGTAGGGGACATCCAACTGGCCTGATAGCAGGTTGAGTACTTCTGGTTTGTTGTGTGGTCTCTAGACTTGAACGCGTGTAAAATGGCCATCTGAGGTTCAAGTGGTTTCTAGTTGCAGAGAGTATCAGAAGGAGAGTCAGGAATAGGAGCAGGAAACAGAACATCCAGCTCATGGCCTCCATGAAACCTGCCCCTTTTCCTCTGAGACCAGAACTGGATGGCTCCTAGCTACCATTATCAAACATTTTAAAAAAGATTCTATAGCGGGATCCTGAATTTAAAGGGAACAGAATTTAGGGGAGCTCTGGTGGCCTAGTGGCAAGAAGCTGCACTGCAATCCCAGAAGTACACGGTTTGAATCCACCAGATGCTCTGCCGGAGAAGGAGGGACAATTTCCTCCTGTACCAGTCAGATCTGATTTGATAGTATACGCACAAAAAATTAAAATAAAAAATTAAAATAAAATAAATAAAAAGGAACAGAATTTAAAATTTTCATAGATTCCAGACTTTCTAGAACCATTGAGGTTAGGTAAATTTCATGAAACTATTACCCTAAGATAATTTTTAAACTTTAATACAAAAATATAACCTAAGTCTACCTAAAACAACCAAAAAAACACCCCCAAAAGCAAAAATATTTTAAAAAGCCCCTAAAATTACCAGGTTAGCTTAACCAGTAAAGAATGTATTGCACTTTCTTAATATCTATGTACATGACATCAAACTGATCATAGTAACCTGAAAGGTTACACAGGAACCTTAAGGGGCAGTGAGTTTACATTAACAGGGAAGAAATAACTTAGAAAGGGAGAGTGACAGCAGTCACACAACTTGAAGAATGCAGCCGATGTTACTGAATTGTACAAGCAGAAATTATTGAATGATGTATGTTCGACTGTCTCATCCCAGTGACAACAATAAAAAGAAAATAAATTACAAACAGAAAAGATATAAACTTCTGTCCCAAATCTAAGGCACAGGGTGATCTGATAAGAAATCTGCATGAGGAAGGGAGCTCTGGTGGCTCCCTGAAGAAGTTGCACTGAAATCCAAGAGGTACGCGGTTCACTGCTGGAAAAGGAGGAGCAATGTCCTTCTGTACCAGTCAGATCCGATTTGACGGTACACACACACGCAAAATAATAAAATACAAAATTAAAATTAAAAAAAAGAAATCTGAATGAGGTAATTGCCATTATTGATTTTGAAATGACAAACACAATAAGGAATAAACTCTATAATATGATACATCTCTTCAGCAGGAAGGATACAGCTCTTGGATAGAAACGATGTCTCTGGTGCCTGCATGCCCACTGTCCTTGGATGCACTGTGCCGGGCTTTGGACAATCTTTTGCTCAGAAACTGAGGAATAAAAGATAATGCTTCTGTCAGCTCAGAGTAAAGTAACAGAGAAACATTTTCTACAGTCTTGAGGTAATACTAAAACAACTCATATGCTATTGAGTTGCTCCTGGCTCATCAACATCCTTTATGTCAGGGCAGAACTGTGCTTTAATAGCTGATTAAGACAAAAAAGAATCCAAACTAGAAAGTTATTCAGAGGAAGAAAGAATTTCGTAAGAAGAAGTACCACAGACTGAAAAGGAAGATTATTATTCTAATAACACTAAGATCTAACACTGTGGGTATAGCATCGTTCATTCTCATTAAATGAGAACCATAAAAAGTATGGATAGAAATACAACTGCCAGCTAAGGAAGCAAAGGAGGATGGAACCTCTGGGTGCAAACAGCCATCCCCGCTGGACCCACCTGGGAAAACACTTTGCAGTCCAGAGGGGAGCAAATGACAGGAAAATATCTTCTAACAGAACAAGAAGGCAAGCAGCTTTAACCCAAGATCACCAGTAAGGTGATAAAGCGTCCTCCCTTTCCCCCTTCACATCAATGCCCCTGTTCAGCATGAAGAAGCCAGAGAGTCGGCATCCAGTTCCCAAATCAGTACGACAGTTTATTTAACCACCATTGGAAAATGCTTGTCATTTTCCTGTAGCATCTGGTCCCCACTGGATCACTTTCATTTCCTTTACCTGCTCCCCCCACCAACCAATTTCACTTCAAAGCCCACATTCTTCTCTAGACAGATCTGCTCCCTGACAGAGCGGAACTGGAGGATGAGGGTGTCACTTTGTTTCCATTTCCTTCTTACCTCATGCTCAAAAGAGTTCAGGGTCTCCGGGGTCAGGTTAACTTTGTGCGTGCTGACGAAGGCGACGAGCTCGCCGGCCATTCCCTCCTCATTCTGTCCATACACAACGCACAGTTCTACCACTGCGGGGAGGACGAGAAGGCGGATAAGGACCACTTTAATTTCTTGCCGCTTTCACCTGTATTTATTCAGCACCTGCTAATGCCTGGTACTGTTCCAGGGACAGAGAATACAGCAGTGAACAAAACAGAGGAATCCTTATTCTCATCAAACTTCTTACGGAGGGGACAGAGCGCATGACCAAGCGTGTACATTCTGTTACCCAAGGGCACTGAGGTGGCCGTCTGCTTCCATGGAGACGGCCACCTCATGGATTCGGTGCCCTGACCATTTATTAAGTTAGCACCTGAATGCTTAACCACTGTGCCACCAGAGCTCCATGTAGTATATTGTTGTTATGTGCCGTCAAGTCGCTTGAGACTCATAGCGACCC